TTTTTTTAAATCATACGTTGTGTGTTTTTTTTTTTGCACAATTTGAAGTTATGAGGGCGTAGAAGGCCCCCGCGCGACCCCCTTCCCGCCCCGATCCCGATCACCCTGACGCCCCAATGACCGCTGACCGCGTGAACGGCCGTTCACGGAAACAGGGCCCGGTGACCGGCCGGTCACGTTCATGTGACCGGCTCTGGTCACGGTCACGGGTACGGCACTGCTGGTGCTCCTCCTCCTCCTCTTCTCCTTCTTCCTCAACCTCCAATGCCTGATTGATCTGTTGTTGGTGCTCCCTGGCTTGTTTGAGACCTCTCTCGATCTCTCTTCGAGTCGGGATAGCTGCACGGCGGGCCTCCTCCTCCATCATACGTTTGTTGACGAGTTTAGTCTCCCGGTCAGCCATAGCCTTGGCACGGTTCGCATCCTCCTCATCTTCGTCCACCCTCGTTTCCAGCAACGTCTCGACATCCGTGTCTAGCCGTGCGAACTCGACATCAAATTGCGGATTGTACAGTGCATTTTCCCTTACCCCGGGCTCCATCGCTGTCGGGCGTGGCTCTTCTCTGCGTTGCCATCCGGTCCGCCTCCTTCCGACGTACGTCGTGATTGGGACGGACGGCTCCGGTCATAGCTCAAAATCGGAGTCATCGTCGTCATCCTCTTCTCTGCCACTTGAGTCCTCCGACAATCCGCACTTCCCCTTCCACAGCTCCACATCCAAATCACTGTCATCCGTGAGCTCTTCGTCCTTGTCCTTGAGATTTTTTGGAACCCTTCCCTTCGGAGTCTTTGTGAGCCTCCGTTCCCGTACAAGCTCCTCCTCTGTCTTCTCAGCCTCATCCTCGGGCCCCTTCGACACCGATCCATCGTTCTCTTCAGGCTTCGGGGCAGGCTCGACGAAGTCACACCACAAGTCCACAAATCCGTTGTTCTTAGTCTCTGGAACACAATAGCTTCATGTTCAAGTGTATGTACACTAGCTTCGCCAAGCTTTCTGGCGACAACTTGTTCCTCCGTTTGGAATGGATGAAGTCCATGGAAGCCCAGATCCTCTCCGCCGGCGATGCGGTGCTCCACATGCCCATAACCTTGATCGCGATCTTCTGCAATTCGGGCACGTCGCCGTCGTGTGCTGCCCACCATTCTGACGGTGTCTTCTTGTCAACATCTGCCTTCGCTGTGGGGTCCCACATCTTCGTGTCATTCCTTTTCAGGCCGTTCCTTGTAGGTTTGTTGTGGAACTCATTGAGGTCACTCCAAATGTCAAGGTGCGCTTGCCCTTTCCATTCACCTCCAACCTGCCTCGAGAGAAACCGCATGGCATTCTGCACAAGCGTACCGTCTTGGTCATGCAACCACCTCAGTTCTCTCGTGCGCGGGTCCAAAAGAAAGGCTGCTGCGTGGACGGGTTGCCGCATCATCTTCATGCGATCTTTGACTTTCTCCATCACGCTCGCCCGCTGCTCCATCGTAAGAAAGACATGGCTAAGTTTCCTCTCTATCATGTCGTCATACTTGACAAGGTTTGTGGGACCGGTACCGTCCTGATCCATCCGCCTCAAGAGGCCGAACACGGGCTCCATCACCTCAACCACCTTGTTCAACCCCGTCCACCACTCATCACTCCTCAATGTGAAGTACACCCGATCCGATCTGACCCTCAACTTCAACGTGGACCATCGGATCGCATTCCACTTTACTGTATTCGGACCATGGACTATGTCCTTCAACACCGCCCTCCTGTCGTATATCCTCTCCAACATTTGGTAGACTGACCCGAAGCACACCTCCGTGGGCCAAAGAAGAGAGCGAATCGTCCACTGTCATCATCAGACTGTTTGTGTTGTGGTGATTTCTGATGAACTTGACGATTGTGTGGCCCCTCTTAATGGTGTGTTTCACCCAATCGAGTTTGCTGAGGTCGCGCAAGAGAAGGCTGCAGCAATGCGCAGCGCAAGGAACCCACAGAATCCTTGCTACCTCCTTGTCCGTTCGTCGCTCCAGGATCTGAGACGCCCTTTTGTTGACGTCCGCGTTGTCAGTGCAGATCGAATTGATTCGACGCAGTCCTATTTCCCTCATGATCTGCTCCCAAAGTTTCGCCAATGCAGGTCCGGTCTTCTTCCTCCCGGACATTGACACTGTCGCCACCAAAACCGCCCCATCCACCCCAGCTGCCAAGAAGTTCATCACGGGCCGCTCCCAACGATCACTTGATCCGTCTGTGACGAAAGTACACCCGCTCACATCCCAACAAGTCGTCAACGGCTCCACCGTCTTCTGCACTCGCATGCACACAATGTCCAACATGACGGTCCTCATGTGGTTGAAGGAGGGCAGTTTCACCTGCGGTCTTGACTTTGCCACCTGCAGGTACACTTCGTGGAGTTTCTGGGTGGTTTCGAAGTTCAAGAAGTTGAACGAGATCCCAGCACGAAACATGGTTTCCGCCCATGCAATGTCCAGTTTTTTTTGCGCACCGTTGTCCACCCACCTCTTTATTGTTGACTGCTGCAATGAGGACAGCCGTGTGTTCGACCCCGACGCCTCACCCCCCGCCGCCTCCAAAGCATTCTCCTTGTGCAAATCCCCTGCATCACATGGAGGAGCAGCCCTGCCCGCAGTGGGCGGTGGCTGTAGCTCAAGGTATGCGGGAAATTCAACCACCTCGTCGGCCTTCTCCGTCTGATCGACCCCCCCTTCCGAAATCCCGTGCAGCTGCTTGTAATTCTTCAGCAAGTACCGCATATTCTTATCACCCGGCAACACTTTCCCCCCGGATTTGATGAGCTCATTCACCATTTCTCCTGTGCGCGATGGACACGGCTTCTGCGTCTCCAGGTAATGTTCCACCGCTCTTGAGCTCGTGCCCCTCCAAATCTGCATGCACAACCGACACCTCACCCAATACTCGCCTCTCCCTTTCTCCCTGGCTTCCTGACCCTGTTCCACACACAGGCTTCTCCCTCTGCAACTTGTCCTGCCTCGCCTTGTCTTGTGGAACGAACAGCGAAGGGTCCATTGCCGGTGTGGGGTCTTTGGAGGTCACTGTGGATGTGGGTGTAGCGGAGGTGCTTGCAACATTTTCTTTTCCTTTTTTTGCTGCCGTTTTGCGCCTCCTCCGTCCAGAGCCGCCACTCCCCCCTCTAGTGTCACTAGCATCGCCCGCCATAGTGTCGTGGAAGTAGAGGATGCAAGGACAACCAGCGAAGGAAAAAACAAGTTCAAATATCGGAAGAAGAAGCAGAAGAAGAAGAAGAAGAAAAAGAAGAAGAAGACTTAGGGAGGAGGAGGAGAAAGGAGGAGGAGAAGGTGGCGAGAAAAAGACGAAGGGAGGGGGAGGAGGAGGAGGAGAGAAGAAGACGACGGGAGGGGGAGGAGGAGAGAGAGGAGGAGGAGGAGAACCTGCCGATTTTGATTTGCGTTGACTGGGGAAAAAAAAATGACGAAGGAGGAGGAGGAGAGAGAGAGAGAGAGAGAGAGAGAGAGAGAGAGAGAGAGAGAGAGAGAGCTCTGGACACATGGCAGTTCTGGACACATGGCAGTTCTAGTCACACTGCTTCTGCCACGTGGCACTTAGCTTGCTGAAGAAAAATATAGAGGAGGAGGAGAAAGGAGGAGGAGGAGGAGGAGAGAAGAAGACGAAGGGAGGGGGAGGAGGAGGAGGAGAGAAGAAGGGAGGGGGAGGAGGAGAGAGATGAGGAGGAGGAGAAGGAGGAGGAGGAGGAGGAGACAAGAAGA